TTTTCTATGTCTGTGAGTCTATTTCTGCTTTGTAAATAAGTTCATTTGTATCATTTTTTAGATTCCATATATAAGACATATCATATATTTGTCTTTCTCTGTCTGACTGACTTCACTTAGTATGATAATCTCTAGGTCTAGGCATGTTGCTGCAAATGGCATTATTTCATTCTTTTTTATGGCTGAGTAATATTCCACTGATATGTACAACATCATCTTTAACCATTCGTCTGTCCATGGACATTTAGGTTACTTCCATGTGTTGGCTATTGTAAACAGTGCTGCAATGAACACTGGGATGCATGTATCTTTTCAAATTATGGTTTTCTCCAGATACATGCCCAGGAGTGCTTTTGCTGGATCATATGGCAGCTCTATTTATAGTTTTTTAAGGCACCTCCATATTGCTCTCCATAGTGGCTGTGCCAATTTACATTCCCACCAACAGTGTCGGACAGTTCCCTTTTCTCCACACCCTCTCCAGCATTTATTTTCTGTAGACTTTTTGATGATGGCCATTCTGACCAGTGTTGAGGTGATACCTCATTGTAGTTTTGATTTGCATTTCTCTAATAATTAGCAATGTTGAGCATCTTTTCACGTGCTTTTTGGCCACCTGCATGTCTTCTTTGGAGAAAAGATCTTCTGCCCATTTTTTTGACTGGGTTGTTTGTTTTTCTAATATTGAGCTGCATGAGCTGTTTGTATATTTTGGAGATTAATACCTTGTTGGCCACATTGTTTGCAAATATTTTCTCCCATTCTGTGGGCTGTCTTTGTGTTTTATTTACAGTTTCCTTTGCTGTGCAAAAGCTTTTAAGTTTAATTTCCTTTGCTGTCCAAAAGCTTTTAAGTTTAATTAGGTCCCAATTGTTTATTTTTGTCTTTATTTTCGTCTTTATTTTCCTTATTTTAGGAGGTGGATCCAAAAAGATATTGCTGCAATTCATCCCGAAAAGTGCTGTTCTGCCTATGTTTTCCTCTAAGAGTTTTCCCTCACCTCTGGTATAATCTTCCCTCCCTTTTGCTCTCAAAGTATTTGTTCTGTACCCCTATTATGGCACTCCTATAAAAGTTGAAATACATAACAATTTTTTGTCTTTTGCTCTCTAAGTATTTGTTCTGCACCTCTATTATAGCACTCTTATAAGAGCTATATTATTTGTCCTCCTCCTTACCTTGGTCACAATGGATGAAGTATCTCTGCTGCTACAAAAGGTCAAACCCTGAACTCATGACTTGGATCACTTCTCCCACCCATCTTCTCAAGAATGTTGCTTCTTAAATTATCTTCACTCTCTCCTTATCAGTTTCTCTCAGTATATTAGATTACTTCCATTAGCCTTCAAACATGTAAAAATATCTCTCATCTTTTATATAATAATTTATAATATACATACTATAATTTAGTTTAAAAACAACCAAAGGACAATCATAAGCTATGTTAAGGATTTGGATTTTGTTCCAAATACAACGGGAAGACAATGAAGTTGTCTACTTCTACACCCTCCATTTACTTGTAAATTTGAATTCTTCTTTATCACGACTCTGAAATTCCCCCAAGATCACAATCTCCTTGTTTATAAATCCAACTGGACGTGTTCTGATTCATCTTTCTGATCTGCTCATCATAGCATCCAACAGTAATGATGACTTCCTCCCTGAAAGGCTCTCTCTTCTTGCCCTTTACTGACATATCACAGTCACCTAGTTTTGTTGTGTTTTCCAGTTCAGCTCATTTCAGCTTCAAGGCCTTAGTGTATGCAGTTTCTTCTACCTGGAATGCTCTCCCACCCCTGTACCCCACCCCCACACTCCCACTCAGAGCCTTCAACCTAACTGAAGCCCACTCATTAATCTGGGCACATTTAAACATCCCTTCCAGAAAAGTATTCCCATACCCTCCAAATTAGTTAGGTTCCCCCAATGATGCTTCCATAGCATCCTTTTTCCCCATAGCACACATCACATTTGTGATACTCATTCAATGTCTATCTTCCTTTGTCTCAAATTCCCTGAGAGTAAGAACCAGGTCTACAAATACGTAGAGATACAGTACACACGCAGGCCTAGTACACACTTAATTCATTGTATGATAAACAAAAAGCATCACAGGCCTTACCCTCCACCCAGAGTCCTAAACCTAGTTTATTACTTTCATAATCAATTGGAAAGTTGTATAATAAAGTGCTTGGGCTTTAGAGCCTGATAGAACTGAATTAAAGATCTGGCCCAGTTTCTCATCAGGGAACTTTGAGCAAGTTACTTAACCTCTCTAAACCTCATCCACAAATAATCACACATACCTTGCTATAAAGATTAACTATCCTCTTCTTTTATACTGCTACTGTTACAATATAAATAATTATTCTCTCCCCTCTTGAATAATGTTTTTCAAACATTATTCAGAATGCTTCAAACAAGCTTATTTTTTTTAAAAGGAAAAATACAGAGTAGAAAAAATACATCAGAGTGCAATGCACACGTTAAGGGCATACTGTTGAAATACACACAGAATTCAACTATTGGATTATTGGATTGAAATGTTACACGTACATCCTATTATGGGTTGCAGTCAAAAAATTTGAAAAACATTGCTACACTATTGCTACAGATAAATTAATATTATTAGAATATTAAATTCAGTGAGATAAGGGCCCTTGGTTTTGTTCACTACTATGTCCCTAGAACCTAAAACTGTCTAGTATAAAACAGCACATAAATATTTGTTGAAAGACTTGAATGATATATCTGGTCCCAATTTAACTTTTCAAACATATTAATCCTACAGTATTCCTTACTGTCATTTACAGAGGACAACACGTTCTCATGCCTGAGCCTGGGCTCATGCTATTCTCTCAGAATAACAAGTTTCCTCCTTTTCTCAACTCACTAAGCCACTCGATGCCCTTTTACTACTCTGTACTTTCTTATATAAAACCATATGAGAGGCATAAAGTCCACAAGTATAAAAGAAAACATGATATATTAAAAGTGAATATGCAGTACATGAAAAAATACAGTTCTACATCAAGTTCATACAGTTCAAGTTTTAGTTCAGTTATGACATACATCTGACTAACAATTCAGCATGCCATCTTAAAATTTAAAAGCTCTTTTGGAGGATGACTTAAATAACCCATACTCAATTAAAAATGAGAAGTCTGATCTATTACCTTCTTTTTTCTCTCTCTATAGGCATTTATGCTGACAGAGGTACTCAAAATCATACCACTGATTATTCTTTTCATAAAGAGGGCAACACATAAAAATCTTAAGTCATCACTAAGGAATGAAAGTCAGGAGTTTGAGTACTGCAATCAACTAGCTTTGCAATCCAGAAGTCACTCTGTGCCTCATCCACACATAAGCCAATTTGAAGACTCAAAGTGTTTAGAAGAAAAGAGGCTATCATAACCACTAGTTTTGGAAATTGTTTTCAGAGGCTGAGCAGAATGTTCACACACTGACCTTTTTCAAGTTTCCACGTATTAAGCACTTACTATGTTCCAGAAATTGGGCTTTATTTATTTACATAAATGTTTCTATCATCTTTGGTGTTTGGAAAAAAAAAAAACACCATTTGGCTGGAACTACTTTCTTCCCCCTTTGGCTACTTTTCAAAAAAAAAATTAAAATCCTATGTTTTATTCAGAATTATTTGTTAGCATACCACAGAAGGTTCTGTTCTTTCTCTCTCTTCTTTTTTTTAGGTTATTACAAAATATTGAATGCAGTTCCCTGTGCTATACAGTAGGACCTTGTTTATCTATTTTATACATAGTAATTTGTATCTGCTAATCTTTCTCTTGAAAAAAAGCCACACACACTTTTTATCTTTCCCATATTCAACTACAAGTAAGCAAGTAAAAAGACTACCAAATATTCTGACACTAAAAAAATTCTGCTTTTCAATTCTCACTTCAAATATCTCTCACCACCTACTAATTAGCCATCTTTGGTAACCCCTAATTATTCCAGAGTTCACAATCTTAAAAACCTGTCTTCTTTAGTACAACTCCTTTCATTCACTTTATCCCTACCAGAGGCTGAAGAGTGGAAAATTCCAACTTTTGCAATTTTAGAATGAGGTTATAAAGGGGGGTGGGGAGGGACACCTGACAGTAGTTGCTTGTTTTTTTTCAATTCACTTAAGCTCTCAAAGCCAAAAACACTTAAGTTCCAACATGAGTTTCATATTTCCCTGTATGAAACCTGCTTTCTTAGGTTTCAACCTTTACAACTGTAAAAAGAAAAGTGTTACGTATTTCTGAACAGGGATCAGTTGCCAAATAACATGATGTCCTCAAAGAAAAGGCAACATGAATATTAAACTAAAATTTTAGTCGGCATAAATATAGTACATAATATGATACTTAATAACACATTAAGAGCAGTACTACTAATTAACTTAAAGATGTGATTTTTGGAACGAGAAAAACATCAGTGTTGGCCTCCGGCTACAAAAGGTAAACATTATTCTTTAATGTTTGGTTTTTCTGCTTCTACCCTATCCTGCCAAAAGCTTTAGCTGATCTTTGGGGTGCTGTGACTCAGGGTCCCAGAGTGTGGCTCTGGTCAGAACGCGAAACGCGCCCTACAAGGCGCCTCAAAGTTTAACACAATTTGTATTATATTCTCCCAATCCTCTGGGTCCCTTCCACTTACAGCCGTCCCAGCCACAGTGATTCCGAACTCTCGGGAAAGCTTTAGACTTACCCCCAAACCTCTTCCTAAATCAAGGTGGCGGCCCACATTTCCCCTCCCATCCTGAAGCACCGGCAGACAAACGTGGGGTCTAAGAAAAGAAACCTCGCACCGCTCCACCCAACAGGTGGGAAGGAGGAGGGATGGACAGCTGGGCCCCGAGGCCAACGCAGGCCTCAAACACGGCGGGAGTGGGAGGCCGCAGCCCTAGCGCGGCCTGAAACAAGGCAGGCGCCTTGCTGCCCCGCGTACCACCCACGCCGGCCAATTCCAAGGCGCCCGCCCCAGCTGACCTGACGATGGATGCCACTCAATGCCATGAGCCGCAGTGTGGGCCAACCGAGCCGAAGAGGGCACTTCCACCGTCTCTGTCCCCACAAACACCGGAGCAGACGCCACCAGCGCCACGGCCGCCTCGTCGAGAGTGCGGCGCGCATGCGTCGGTGTCCCCGGAGGCGAGGAAGTCACGTGGTTGCGCAGCGCGCAGGCCTCGCCCTCCGCGGGATCCGGCGGGGATCTGTCCTGCCCGGCCACGCCTCGCCCAGCCCCGCCCCGCCCAGCCCAGCCCAGCCCCGCCCCGCCCAGCCCAGCCCCGTCCCCGCCCTGCCGCCACGGAGGGCGGGGCCGCTGCTCCAATTCAGTTTTTCCTCCTCTACGGGAACTTGCAGAGCCGAAGGAGAGTGTTCAGGGCCTTCCGCACCCCTGATTTTAAACACAGACAGCGCCCCGCCCAGTCAAAGAAAAATACTCTTACTATTTTTGGGCAAACAACTGCCTAGGCTCCACGCCTCTACTTAAAAGTGGTCAGAAATTCAGCCTTAAACTCCTAAATCTCACGATGGTTTGGACTCTGGGTCCACCCAGGTTTCCTGAAGGTGAAACAATAGTGGAGTTAGGGGCTTGAGGAACTGATTATTAAAGGGATATGTAAAATTATTCCCTGGACAAATGAAGGCTGCATTATTTTGATAATCTTAGCAGTACTCTTCAGCTATACTCCCATCCTCAGTTTAAAAAAAAAAAATTTTTTTTTTTTTTCAAATCTGGCCTCTCTCCTGTTTATATTTCGAGGTTCCTGAATTCACCGACAATTTACCAGGCAATCGCTTGTTCAAGATTCAATAGTATCATAACTGGGCTGCAATTTCCTCCTCTGGAATCTGTCTGCTTCCAGAAATATTTCTCTGCAAGATGATGTTTTCTATTAACCTGTTAATCATAAATCCCCTCAACAGCTCCTTTGCTTCCAAATATCAAAACCAGTCTTATCTTTCACTTACATCAAACTGCATCTAGTTGCAGCTTTCCCTTTGCATTGCCTCTTCTACTCTTCAAGCTAACTTTTCTGAATTCTCTAACAGTGCAGCCTTGCTTTTTACTGGTGTACCCAGTGACATTTATGTTCACTATGGGAAGGAGCAGTTAAGGGTCTCTGATATATTGGGAAGGCATGCAGACTTGGCCACAAACACTGTCATTCAGTGGCTCTGAGTGCCACAGCTTTCACTCCTCTCCTGGTTCTTTTCAAACTTTCCTAAAGTAATCTCAAATTCTTCATCAGTAAATAAGATTATCTTTGAGATTCTCATCTCCTCTAAGAGCCATTTTCTAAAACTCTACCTGCTTCTTCAGCTTTATTCACTGTAGATTCATTGTTTCCCTTTATCTGCTTTTCTACATCTTAACCTTTCAAGCCAGTACTATTGCTTTCACGGTCCTGCTTAAAAACCTTCACTGGTTTCCCCCAATGCTTTTAAGAAAAACCTAAACATTTTAGCATTGAAAATATACTCCTTCGTAATAACACCAGCCCTCTTACTGGTTTCTGCCTTCCCATAAATTTACAAAACCCACTGTTCCCTTTTAAGTGTCTATGTCCCTTTTATGTGTCTCAACCTTTCAGTGTGTTTTCCTCTGTCTACAGTGCTTGCTCTCCTCACAGGTGAGAACTTAATTTTTTTTTTTTTACTTGATGTAGCTTTAGTTGACTTTAAAAGAAATTGTATGTCACAATTATAAGCTTTGGGAAGAAAAAAAAGATATTATACCAAATAGTGCAGCTTACAGGGTGGCAAGTTCTAAAATACAGTATTTAAAGTCAGGTGATTCAGAAACAGAACAAAAAGTTGGGACAGATGGGAAAAGGTGTTGTTTATTAATGTAATGGATTTCTTCCATTTACCTCTCCAAATCAACTGTCCACCTTTCTCTACCTTGACCTTTGCTCCCTGGTTTCTGGTTGGGTCTGGCCAACACGGTCCTGGAAGAACAGAAGGGAGGAGTGAGGTCAGAGTATTTATTCCCCTAGCTCCTTCCATGCGGTCCCCGTATCACTTTCTTCTCCCAGATTCCAGGTTTCCCTAAACCATTGTAAATAGTCCCTTATTAACCACTTCTCAAATTACCCTGATGTTGATAAGCCATGTATTTCCTTCTGGGATTGTGACTGATAAAAGAGCAAAAAACTTCTTATACCCAGTGTTAGTCGCAGCTTCTTTCTGGGCTATTCAGTAAAGATTCCTGTTTATTCTGTTCAAAATGTAACATGCAATGAAAAAGCGCATAAAACACCACATGGCTCATTTATTACAGAACATATTTTCTCTAGGGAATGCTATTTGTTCATTTACATCATAAATAAATCCATCATTGAATAGTGGTGGCTCTTGTATTAGTTCAAAACATTTAGACTCCTGTATTTAGTGTTCTTTCTTACCGGTTAAAGCAAATAAAATTGTGGCTCTAGGAGATTTAAATCCAAACACAATATGGATATTGTCCCTCTCTACTATTATATGATCTGTGAGATTTAGTTCAAATGGTATCGCCTCAGTTCAGTCTTCCTGAGAGTTATTTGGATCCTACAATGCTCCAATTTGAATAATTTATTTTTTATTTTATTATTTATTTTGGCTGCGCCGGGTCTTCGTTGCACCATGCGGGATCGTTTAGTTGCGGTATGCGGGCTTCTTAGTTGCAGCATGCATGTGGGATCTAGTTCCCTGACCAAGGATTGAACCTGGGCCCCCTGCATTGGGAGCCCATAGTCTTACCCACTGGACTGCCAGGGAAGTCCCCTGAATAATTTGTTAAATTGTTAATCTGTGTAATGTGTTCCCAGCTGTAGAAATGTCAAAATGAAAGAAAGAGGGAGATTTGCATTTTAATTTCCCCCACCTCAGCCCCAATTTCCCTATTCCAAGCCTTTTTGTTCTCTTGTCACAGGGCTATGAAACTGTATCTGTAATTGGTCATGACTTCCTATAGCAGGTCCTAGGGGATAAAAATCCAAATCCTTGCGTTTACCATTTTGTTCTTGTTCTTACCTCTACTTTTATCTGGAACCTCTCTGTCCTGCTCACTGTGACACATGGAAGATTGACTTCTTTCATCTTCTTAGTTTCTGATCTTTGCAGGTACTTAGAATGTGCTTTTCCTTTCTTTTCTCATTGTCGAATAACTCAATCTTCAGAACTTATTTGAAATGTTGCTTCCTTGAAGATATCTTCTCTGATCCCACAAGCCTGGGTTATGATACTGTTATTTTGCCCATTAAAAATCATGATACCTACATTTTCATTATGGATTTTATCTTTACTAGACATGGAGTGTTGGATATAGTATGTTGCAAGATTGAAGTAAGGCTGTATGTTGTTATAAGTTAGGGACTAGGAAATTTCTACATTCTTCACAAATAATGCTGCAAAAAGAGAATAATGTGAATGCAAGAAGAGGATAGGGGTTATTCTTTCAGGGTGATTGAGTTTTCAGGCTTTAATAGCTAAATCAACTGGGGTACCAGGAACGGCTTGTGAAAGAGATTGCTGATATTTGCAAATATATATTGTGTGTGTATGTGTATGTGTATTGCTGTTTAGCTACTGTTTATGTATTCCATGTATATTCATACATATACTCTTTTTTTTTCTTTATTTTTGGCTGTGTTGGATCTTCGTTGCTGCACGCGGGCTCTCTCTAGTTGCAGCAAGCGGGGTCTACTCTTCGTTGTGGTGAATGGGCTTCTCATTGCGGTGGCTTCTCTTGTTGCAGAGCACAGGCTCTAGGCACGTGGGCTTCAGTAGTTGTGGCACGCGGTCTCAGCAGTTGTGGCTCACGGGCTCTAGAGCACAGGCTCAGTAGTTGTGGCGCATGGGCTTAGTTGCTCCGCGGCATGTGGGATCTTCCCGGACCAGGGCTCGAACCCATGTCCCCTGCATTGGCTGGTGGATTCTTAACCACCAGGGAAGCCCCATACTACTCTTTTAAGTATATTCATATTGATGTGTTAGGTATATATTTTGCTTTTTAAAGTTTTTTTTTTTTCTTCAGGTATCAGGTAATAATGTGCCCAACTCCAGGAGCTGAATCATAGTCAATACAAACCAACTGTGGTAATCCCATTCCTATTTGCCAATGACTGATTGAGGGATAGAAGGGGTGACCCAATTCTGGTCAACGAGACATAAAGAGAAATTGGCTGTTTCCATGGGTGAAGGAGAGAGAAACTAGTTTTAGACATTATTTGAGCCCTGAATCAAGCCAGCTTTGAAGCCAGAGACTTTGACTTCTGTTATAAGCATCAATAAAAATAATTTTCCCTTTTGCTCATGCCAGTTGGGTTTTTTCTTTCCTTTTCTCTTTCTTCTCTTCCCTTCCCTCCTTCCTCCTTCCTTTCTTTTTATCCTCTTGGCCATGGATTTAATAAATGTAAAGCTGTAATTTAAATTCAGAACTCTGCCGGGAAACCCCTGGCGGTCCAGTGGTTAGGACTCTTGTGCTTTCACTGCCGATGGCCCAGTTCGATCCCTAGTCGAGGAACTAAGATCCCACAGGCCTGGCGGCGCGGCCATAAATCAATCAATCAATCAATTCAGAACTGCCTTCAGAGTCAGTTCTCTCACAGGGGTCTGAAAGCATTACATTCCTCTTTTTTCCACCACCTGCTTCTCCTCCAGTGTTCTCCATTTCAGTTAATGGCATCAGCATTCACCAGTCTCTACTGTGAGAAACTTCTTTGACTCCTTTATGTTCCAAATCTAAGTATGTCATCAATTTAGTCAGTCCTGCCGTCAGAATACCTTTCAGATATATTTTCAATTCTCACTCCTGTTATACTATTCTTTAGACCTTTACTATCTAGAATCTGGCTCTGAGCCCTGGATAGTAAGTAGATCACTATACTCTTTCCTATTGAAACTTGCTAGAACCTCACAATCTTTTTCAACACATTGAACAGGCAGACGTTATCTATCCATTAGGCTGGGACATCCTATGAAATCCATTTGCCACAGGAGGCCTTTGGATCGGTGTTTCCATCCAACTATCCCTCTTCTACTAGTTAACTTTTAAAATACACCACCCCCACCCTTGAAAACATTGCTCCAGAATAAATTTCAAACGTA